ATTCAAATCATAAAAGAGTCACAAAGCCTTTTCTATTAAAGATGCAAATCAAGATAGAGTACTTTTTTATAAAAATATGCTTATTAATCTGACTTAAGTAAATCCATCATGATATTGGAAGAGATGTAATCTTAGATAGAGCTTGACTTATTGCAAAAAATCTTTAAAATTTTAATTTTATTCTATCAAACTTCTCAAGCATATTAATTCTTATCCTTGTCATACTTGTAGAAGCAAAACTTCTTGTATTTGATTGTGAAATTAATCTACTTGCTTCTTTAAACTACACAACTTTTTGATGTAGACTTTGAACTTATTCCATAGATATAGGAATAGTATCTCCATAATTTACATTGAAATTACATGAGATTTCTACTCTTAAAGTATTGACAAGCTCATGAAGATCTGTAATAGTTGCAAATTTATTCTTACTTTTGCTGAGAATATCATCCATAATCTTTCTTTCCATAGACAACTTAAAAATATTCAAAAGTTAAATCAGAGGAAGGTAATCAACAACCTCTAATATCAAATGAAAATTTCCACAAACAAGGGTAATCCACTCTCTTTAAGAAAAAAAAAATGGTGTTAAAAAATAAAATTTTTTGTTTAAAGGTTTGTAGTATGCAACCTTCAAAATACAACAATAGAAGTGGAATAATTCATTCACTTCTAAAACAAGATAATAACAATAATTTTACACTCTTGTCAAACTTTCAAGGATATGAAAATTTAAAAAAATAAAAAAATAAATAAAAATCCTCAATACACTCTTGTATCACTCAAAAGAACTAAGAAGCCACTCAAAGATGATATAATATTAAACTAGAATGGCTATTATGAAAGAAAATAAGACTAGAAAGTCTTAAAATAAAACTAAAAATCAGAAAAGCATTGAAAAGAGTGAAGAAGGCTTCATTTTTTCCTCCATCTTTTCTTTTAACTAAGAACTATGTAATGATGTCCTATAAGACCTCTAAAATGTGTTGATTTTATAAGACACATATCTTAACTTGTAAGGTAAGTTTTTTATATGTAATTCACATAATTATCTTGTTCCATAAGCTACTAATACATGATTAACTTGTTGACTAAGTTTCTAACATACTAATCAACTACAAATACATATAAAGTCAAAGCAACATCTATGAAGCTTCTAGAAAGCTTTTTTTAAAAATATTATTAAATAAATCTATTTTTATGTACTTCTACTTAATCATATAGATAAATATTAGAATAAATATGTATGTCCATGACACAAACATGGAAAATAAATAACTAAAAAATTCATGTCAAGACTTGTAATTTGTACAAATGTTAAATAAAATACTTAGATTGTTTTAACTTGGACAACATTATAATTGTAATGAAGATATTTAAGAAAAATATATTTTTTTATATAAATGGAAAGATATAATATATTTAATATTAAATTCTTAAATAAAATTTTTATTATTTAGTAATACTATTAAAAATAAATATTATACTTGATAGAATCTATAATATGTTATTTGAAGGAATTATTATAAAAAAATTAATAATAATCAAATACTTTGGTGATCTTTTTGCTCTAATATAACACAATACTAATAATTAAAAATATCTATCAACTACCATTATGCCAAACAAAGATTAAAATTTATTACTAACATCATTTGATAAATCTTAGACTTCAATAATTCATAAATTTTATAGTTATTTATAGAGTTTTATACCTAAAAATAAAATGATATCATAGAAATAAATAAAATTGGATAAAATGAAGTAAAAGTAGATTGAATTATTGATATCTATTTACATAGCTTTTTGTAAGCTATAGAAATGTGATATTGTATTTTGTAGAATTCAACCTAGAATTATACTAGAGATTTGGTTGTAAAAATTTTTCAACTTACCTTGAAGTTCTTTTAATCAACAAAAAAAATGAGAGGTATTCAAAAATACTTATCTTAGCAATTACAACTGTCTTAAAATTTACAAGTGAATCAATTTTTAATTATCTCTTTGCTATTGCTAATTATTTTTTACAAATGGCTTCATTTTTTATTATTTTTAAGGTCATTTATATGTCCTTTATTTATTTCCAAGACAATTGAATGTGTTTTTAAGCTCATGGATATAGACTTTGTTAATAATTTTTAAGCTACTGTCAAACTTATGTATACATGGCCTTATTTAGATAATTTTTGAAGTTATTTACATGTCTTTTATGCATCTATGAGATAATTGAGTACATTATTAAGGACATAGATATGAACTTTCATAACAATTATTAAGTGACTACTAACACCAATTTAATATCAAATAAACTTTAAAAAAATCTTAAAAAATCTTCAATAATGTTCATTAAGTCTTAAAATAAATCTATTATCTTTAAATAAAATATTTAATCAAATTTTAAAAAAATCTAACTAAATTTTAATCAAACTTTAATTAAATTCAAAGAATTCATATCAAAAGCATAAATAAATATAATAACAAATTTAAATACTTATAAGTTTATAATTAATTATTTTAATCTATTCAAAACTTTGCAAAATCTTCAAAATATTAATTTAGTATAAACACAAGAAATTTAAATAAAATCTATTTATCAATTGAAAAAATAGTCAAATACTTTGCTTGAATATTGAAGTGCATCCCTTTCTAACTTTGAAGCCAAACTTCCTGTTTTAAGGTCTCTTTTTTAAACCTTTAACAAGATTTCATTTATTTTGTAAATATTAATACTTATGTCAGCTATTTTTTAATTTTATATCTTAATCCAACTCTTGGATTATTTTAGATATTAAAAATCCTTACTAGCCTTTAAATCTCTAATTTTTTATATTTTAACTTACTTAAATTTTCATAAATTTTAAACTAATCATGTAATTGAATCTAAATGCATGATATATATTCAACTTAGCTATGTTTACAATTTCACTTCTAGATCTACCACAAAACTTGTAATTAAAAAAATTATTAATTAATTATTTATATAATTTTTATTTTTATTTTTAATTAATATTACATATAATATTATCTTCTGTAAATTTTTTTATTTTATCTTATTTATGATGATATAAAATAAAAAAAATATCTTTTTATAAAAAATAAAAAACACATTATATTTTTATTTTATCTTATATTTTATTTATAATTTCTTAAGTTATATTTTATTTTTAATTTCTTAAGTAATATTCTATTTTATTTTTAATAAGAATCATCTAAGTTATTGATCTTCATGTATTTTTTTATATAATAGCCTTGTTACAACATGAGAATAAATTTAACTTTATACATGTAAGAATTTGCATATACTTCTGTACAAATACATTAATATCTTTTTAGATTGGTTTGGTTCTTTTAAGATGATTAGCTAAAATTGTATTAGTTGTAGTAGTTTGATTATCAATTGTGGTTGAGTGTTGAGAATTATTTGTTTTTAATTGATATTATTTTTTATTTTAGCAATTGATTCATTAGCTTTGATCTTAGTATTTTTTTTATTGTACTATGATTTTACAAATTCTTTATATGTATTTTTATGACTAGCATAAATCCATTCTTGTATCTAAGTAGCCTATCTTTATTTATTTTTTATTTGGAGAGTCCGCACCAATATGTTTATTACTTTATCTTACATACTCTTTTTATACTATTTTTTTCCTATTTATTTTATTATGTTTCCTTAATTTTTTCAGAGCTAATTTAAGAATTCTAATTTTATTTTTTATATTCAAATGTACAAAGTAGTTTTAGTAAATTGACAAGTGATTGTAGTTAACAAAGATTGATTTTTTTGGTATATTGTTAGATTATAAACTACCATTTTTCACATCTAATTTTGAGATTTTATTAGAATCAAAATTAGAATTCTAAAATAAAAATTTTCATATATTATTTATTATTTGGTAAAAAGAAAGATTTGGGTTTTGCAAATTAGTTCTTTAAACTTAGCTATTAGATTAAAAAAACCGTTTTTAATATTTTCGAAATATATAAGACTTATTAATATTTGTATAGCTTACAGTTACTTATTATAGTGCTAATTAAGTGACAAACCAACAAAGTTCAACATAACCATATAATTTTACACATTAATTATTTTAATTATTACAACATTTAAGTCCATAGAAATCTTTTGTTACAAATCCACACTAATTATTAGCTGGGTCATTGTTTGCTCATAGTATGTCTTATCAAGGTCCCACCTCCTCAGATTCTAACAACATAAAAATCCATCATCCAATTTTGTACAAACCTAAAAACTAAAATATTAAAAAATACTTTTAGATATAAAACTACTTATGTCTCTTCTAAATAGTCCTAAACTGCTCACTAAACTATCCAAATCAATGCATGAATCCTAAATTTTGCCATCTTCCCATCACACCAAAAAATGTGATATCTATTATAATGCCAACTCCAAGGTGACAACTTTTGAAAACACTTCCTATGTACTCATGTTCTTTTATCACAACATTCAATCACAAGCATTAAGAATACTTCATTCTGTTTCAAAATAAAACCAAACAAAATTTAAAATAAAAATGAACAGCATCAATAGGTCAACACAATACGGGTAGCAAGCCTGGTGCAGCAGAAAGCGAACTACACGTGATTCAAAAAAAATAGGCATGTGGTTCAAGGCATGGATGTATGCAACAGTACCATGTGGATGACTATGGAGGCAGCTCGACTGGACACCCCTGGCCCTGGTTTGCGCAATTGGATCTGTTCCCGAAATGATGCGTGTCTAGTTGTAAGATTGTGTTCAGGTTAAATCTGGTACCAGCCGCATTCAGCAGAAAAAAAAAAGCAGCTGTTGAATCGCTTTCTCCAAACTTGACACATGATCCTCGGTTGACCTTTCGTGCGGCTTCCACTCACAACCAGCTCTGCAAGCCTTAATATCCACTTTAATGTGACAACTTGCGCTGACGACCGTGCATGGGACTAAACTTGGGCTGTATCTACATCAAGCTCCATTGTGCATCTCTACAATGTGACAACAATACCAGCAAGCACACTGTTCATCAACCTGGGCTCTCATTAACCCCGATGCCAACCTCTGAGCTTTTACAATTTACAATCCAGTTTCTCCTCACTGCAGCCACACTGTAATTTAACCTAGTTCAACCTGTGATGTCGAGATTTAGCATTTGGGGGTGCAGCAGATTCATGGCATGCACTGTGTTGAGGCTTTAAAAATGACTGATGGATGCTGTTGGTTAAGTCTCGCCGTTTTGACGTGAGTCCGTTCTGAGCAGGTCTTTCAAGAGTTTGGTAATGACTTTCGGTGTTGGTTTGCAGCAGGTCGAATTGAGTTAGTAATGCGGTTTTGTCAGGTTACTGCTTTGGCAGGGACAGGATGTCTGTTGTGGGACTGTAGGGGGTTCTTGAGTTTGGTAACCACATTGCTATCCCGAATATAATGTGCCCTTTCTCAATCGACTCTGAGAATCATTTTTCATGTCAGCACCTCTGTCTCATCCCAATACAAGACAATCACCATCTTTAATCATGTCGGCTCGCTTCGGACTTTTTGAGATCCTTTGTGTTCATTTTCAAGATCCTTGAGGCTTGTCCGAGGCTTATTGGAATTTTATCATATTGAGGCTTCTTTGAAACTTCTGGTAATGGTACGTTTTTACATTGACCTCGTTCTTAATCAACACAAACTCCATCAAAACCCGTAGCTTTTTATTACTGTTATCATCATCATCATCATCATCAATAATCCTAATATTTTCTGAAACCAAAAAAGTCTTTGCCTATCATCCTGTACCTCTTCTGCAAAGAATCACATAAACCCGAAATTAATTTTCTTTCAATTTTCTTTCTGCAGTGTAATAGTTTCTGTTACGCGGCCTTTGCCACGGGGAGAAACAGACGATGTACATGTTGGAACATCCATCTCTACTCATCATCCACAAGATGCTTACATCGTAGCGGGCCAACTGAGATCCTAGAAACAAGGCTTAGCCCTCAACTCCTTGTTTGATCCCATTCGTACTTGCACCCGCAAACTCTACTGTTTCTGTGTGTAAGTGTGCACCACCTTCTATATACTATTGATTTTATTCCCTCAGTGTAAACCTCTTCTTTGTCTACTTTGAAGGTACTAGCATCCACAGTCTACTGAGTCTTAAGATATGTCAGTGGTACACATGCGTTTCTTCCAGTGACGTGATCCCGAGCAGTAAAAGCGTGCGATCATGGGTGCGCGTCAGTGCGTATGCTTTTCCCTCTTTCCAAATGCAGTGGTACCCACCAGAAGGGCTTGTCACCCAGTAAGGAATGTCGTCGGAGAAATGATCAAGACGAACAAATATGTGCCCTAGACTTGTGAAACAGGTGCTTCCATTATTGAAGTTCATTTAAAAGGTGAAATTTTTTGACCCCAGCAACAGGAATCACATGCCGAGTCTGCATATTTGCGTCTCCTTTTGTAAAACGCAATTCTCCAAATCTACCATTAATCTGTGGATGCCTTTGAGGGCTCACCATAGTTTGTAGCGCTCGAACACGATGGCATTGTGAGTGGGCGGTATGTGTAGAGCTTCTTTAGATGATCTCCACCCTTACGAGGTGAGCTCTGACACAATATTCACGTGAACAATCAAAGGGTTTCTGAGTGATATTTTCTCCGCGAACTGTTCGGCGTTCCGGTTGTAAATGCGTAGCAGCGCTTGGTGTAATTACTTGCAATATCTTGCTTTCTTAAAGGGGCAGCTCTCAATAGAATCGATTCACTAATCCCTCGCATCTGTTTAGACCACAGATTCTCTTTTCCAATGACGCAGCACTCGCTCAGATGACAGGCACACAGGCTTGCAGTCTCAGCTTTTCGTTCAGTGCACAAATTAAAAACGCGATGATGTCACTGTTAAGTCATCAAGAATGAAAAGCCTCACATTATTCAGCATTGGATGCTGTGATCCGACCAACTTTTCCTTTCACTGGAGAAGTTGTTGAAAGTTGAATCTTACACGTACGATATCAGCGTGTAGCAGTCATTTCCAGCAACTCTTTCACGTCGAGAATGAAGGGTTGGAACCGTAACTGATAGATTGCGTCTGTTCCACCACTGCAATCCATACGAGCTCTACTTTTGAAAACAGGTTTCTCAAAAGGCAGCGCTGTGATGACCTCAACCTTGAGGTAGTCGTGGTTTCTTTGTGGTTGATGTTGGAAAGCATCGGTATTGTTGATGAAATCTGACCCTCACGTTAACGGGTAAACATTACAGAAGACGGAAATATCAGTATGCTGTTGTGCAGGTGGAAGAGTTCAACAACTGACCTGCGTAATGAGGACCAAGGACATGACCTTCATGTTTCGAAGAGCTTTTGCGTCAGCCATCCCTAACGAAAATTACGTGAAAGGGCTCGTCCGATGTGCTTCAGCAGGCTCGTCACAGTCCACTAAAGTCCAGAAGTTTGTAAAGCTCCTTGTCACACCCTCCTCTTGTGATAAACGAGGAGTTTGACTAGTTGCTCTGTCGACCTATGTTGGTTGGTTCCTTAAAAGTCTTGTGGAAGGACATGACTAGGTTAACTTCGCAATTTCCAGGTACCTTATCTCCATTCTCAGCATCCTTCTGCATAGGCCTTGTCACCATGGGAATGGAGGACTTCGTTGGGGCTACCAGGTTGCATTAAAAACTTGCGCAGAGTTCTTAGCGTCTGCTTGAAGATTAAACTACCGCACAGGTCAGTGCCAGTGGATTGTGGTGGGACCGGAGATGAGATTTTCCAGATGCAGCTTGCATCCAAGTGGGGTGTGCTTCGAGGACCATGCTTTCCTTCGACTACCAGCTTCTTGTGCAAGTTCACTGGCAAGCTTTTTAGCTTCTTTGATTTGTGGGAGGGTCATTTATTGCGTAAGGTGGTGACTTCTGATCACTTGAAAGTTTTCATACTCCCCCTGAAAAGCTGCACAGTATTGTTTTAACTCCACCCATTTACTGTACTTTTATGATAAATGAGTCTGAGTTCGAAGGATAAGTTTTCACCATAGGAACTACTAGATGTCCTAAGGCGTGGCATGCATGCCTAAGGTTGATGCAGGCGTGTGATTTAAAAAGTGGTACTTTTAGCTTAAAATGTACTATCCACAGAAAATCTATGTGTGTTGCAACCTTGTGCAAACACATTTGATTATTGACATGATCGAAAACTGGGCATACCGTAATGTATAATCATTTCACAGGTTCAAACTTGCAAAGGAATATTTAAATTCAAGAGTATGAAGTGGAACTGAAAAGTCCAACCATGGAAAACGGACATCCTTGAACAGTGACGATGACGATGATGAGTTCTCGGTCGTCAGGGCCATTATGTTGTCTGGCACCATGATCGATCATGAGCAGTCTGCTGAAGCTGTGAATGAGAAAACACGAAACTGCGACACAGGCCGCAAAGTCCTTGTGGACAATATTCTTTCTCATCTGTAATTGACTTCCTTGGCGACTCCCACTGTAGAATTTTAACCGAAAGTAGCCATCGACATTGTTATAAACTTCTCCATCGCATGTGTAGCTCCACTGTCTGAGGTTGCTCTTTGTCACATTCTAGATTGCAATCTCGTACATGATCACTAGTGTTGCTTCTAGTACCTGCTGGTGATTTTGTGAAGAAACGCTCGGTGGTGCAGCTGATCGATAAGCTCAGCCCTGAACAACTTCACATCTAGATGTCATCAGCTCGCTACCAAGCTCTTCAGAATAGTGTTTGTATCAGTATTCTATTTGTTGCAGTTTCTCAATAGTGCTGAGGAAAGATAGACTGGTCGATCTGGTGCCAGCTCAATCAGCCTAACGTGAAGCTTCACAGTGCGGATCCTCAGTTGCTCGTCATGGGGCTCAAATTTGCAGTGCTTAGGGTTACTGCGGCTTTGGCATGTGTGCTGATGGTTCTATTAATGTGTTTTCAACCAGTAGCTGGTAATGAACAGGTACGCTTGAGTGCATGAATAGCTACTTTGCTACCCGATGTTTGGAATGGTCGTTATAGGTGAAACGGAAATGATGGCACGAGCATTACGTTGAGAAGCGTCTCTTCAGGTGGACATGGCAGTCCTGTTTTATGTCTGTGCAGTATTAGCATTTCAATACCCAGGCACGAGGGTTTCCCTACGAGTTCCTCGAATTGATCATACTTTCCCGGTGCCTTGTTCTAATCCTGAAACTAGTGACGAATCAGGATGTCTGCAGTTTCAATTCCTGCTGAGTACGTTGTTAAGTGAGAAGTTGTCTATGGATTTGTTATTGCAGCGTATGGGACGCAAACTCGCAGCCACCACGCTGAAGCAATGCTTGGCTAAAGGAGGCGCCCGAACGGCGTTCCCTGGAACCTCGGAGTACAGCACCGCAAGGTTAGCGTACAATTTGCGGGAAAGATATGCCCCTTCTGCGTTCGTCTTCCCGACTACTGTCGCTCAAGTGCAGAATGCAGTGTTTTGCGCGAAACAAGTCGGCGTGGGAATAGTTCCTCGCGGTGGTGGCCATTCGTATGAAGATTATTCCTTAGGTATTATTATCAGAGGTGGATATATTTCACATCTGAGAATTGAGCTCAAAAATACCTGTTTGTTCTTATTAGCCACGCTGTTTCTTGACGAGTATCCCTTTCACATCGGCGTGCAGGTGGTCGGGACGGGGTGCTTGTGGTGGATATGGAGGGCTTCAAGCAGTTTAGTTACAACAAAGCTGCGAAAACTGCCGTCGTCGGCGCGGGCTTTCGCTTAGGGCCTCTCTACTTAGCTCTCTGGAATGCTGGCAAAGTCACGATTCCAGCAGGGAATTGTCCAACCGTGGGCATCGCTGGACACGCCTTGGGAGGCGGATGGGGCTTCAGCTCCCGCAAATTCGGTTTGGTCACGGATAACATACTGGAAGTCCAGCTGGTGGCAGCGAATGGAACAGTAGTCACCGCGAACGCCCAGAAAAACAAGGACCTCTACTTCGCCATCCGCGGGGCCGGTGCAACGTCTTACGGCATCGTCACACAGTTCACCTTCCGGGTTCACGACGTTTCCGCACCGGTCACCCACTTCAAATATAGATGGAACGACAAGGCGGTGTTGTTCAAGAATTTCAAGTCGTTCCAGTCGTGGGGCCTGAATGTACCTGCTGAGATCTCCGCGGCATTCTACATGGATCCATCCGGCGTAAGCTGGCTGGAAGGGACCTACCTAGGGAAAAAAACCTCTCTCTTACCGTTGGTGAAGACGTTCCTCGCCTCAGCAGCGCCAAATCCCACTCGCGTTGAGGAGGAGCTAAACTGGATCCAACTGATTCTTGTAAACTGGAACTACCCATCCAACACGAATCCCAACCAGCTCAACAACGTCCCCTTCACTACTAACACGTTCAAGGCGAAGTCCATTTACGTGAACGGTCCGGGATTGTCCGACGCAGGCATCAATGCCATGATCAATGCCATGAACACGGGGTCCAACGCTTATTTCATCTACGACCTCTACGGTTCCCAGTCGGCGATCAACAAGGTCGTGCCCGGGGAAACCGCGTTTATTCACCGCAACTCCCTGTACAGTATCCAGATGGTTGCAAGCTGGAGTAATGACAACAACGCCGTGACACAAACTAGCTACATCACGAGATACTGGAAAGTGGTGCGGACTTACGCAACCGGACAGGCGTATCAGAACTATATAGATAGAGATATGCCTCTTAGCGCATACTATGGGTCAAGTCTAAGCACACTCATTGCAGGCAAGAAAAAATGGGACCCCCAAAACGTCTTCAACTTCCCCCAAAGCATACCGCTCAAATAGAATACGGAAGCTTTTAGGTTCCGGAAAACTGTACCATACGGTGTCCAACACCACCTTTCTTTTTCTTTGAAATCTGCACCCAGTGTGATGCCCCGCAGAGTAACCAGTTCCAGCGAGCTAGGCTTTCAGTGAACTGAGACAGGACAGGACCTCCGATGAAAGCATGTCGAGAGGCAACTAAAAGTCGGAGGTATTGAATCTGGATACCAACGATCCACCTTACATATTTGTGTACTTGATGTTCATTTCGAAACCAATGTTTCACTGTAGAAAGACTCACATGTGGGTAGCAGTAAGAAAAAAAAAAAAAATATTTACGTGCGTCGATGCATTATTCAGTAAAAAAGGTTGAATAACTCGTGATAAGCAGCGCGGTCCGTTTTGTTTGCAATATCGACACATGTTTGGCAGTCTTCGAGTTCTCATAGTGACTGATTCACGGAAGACTAGCTGTACATAGAATACATCTGATCCTGCATATTGGATCTCACAGTAAAAGGTTTCCAGCCATCTTCGGCTTCACCCGAAGGATGAACTGTAGAGAAATACTTCGACATAGTTCACAACTCCAGCTTCTAAACTTCATTAAGAAACGGTCACTACTTATGCATGGATCGGCATCTCACCATCTCAGTTGTTGATGAATCCGATGTCTCAGCACTACTTTTGTTTAACCTGCTCTGCCGGTTCAATATCAGTTTTATCTAACCCCCGTTAAATATCCCCTTCATCGTTCGTTTTCGCCTGCTACCTTGAACATATATGTTTTGGAGGTGAAGAATTTTATTTTTATTTTTATTTTTATTTTTTATCGGAACTACTCTTTTACTAAGTAATTCTAGGATTTAATAATATTAATTAATTTTCAACAGGGTGTTATATAGTGGTTTTATGCAGTTGAGGACAGCGCAACCACGAGGGCCATCACTCCTTGACAAGGTGCGGCTCTTGCCCTATTTTGCTGTGCTACCACGGATTGGTTATACAGAATGTTAATTGTGATTTCTAATTAGCCCTTTTAATCAAGTTGTGGTGTAAGTCGGGTTCTCTTCCGAGCAATCGGAGCAATGGAAGGTACTGGGCTAGGTTCAAACCAAGCAACAACATGTCGTTGGTGGGGCAGTATTTGAATTGGATCTTGTTGAGGGTGGCAAGTCGTCTGATGAAGTGGTAGCAGATGGCGGTAGGTTTGGCTCAAGAGTGAAACTTCGTGGTGTCTACCAAGGCAAGTGCCGATTGGTTATTACAATGGATTAGGATTATAATTTTTAGCCCTTTGGTTTGGTGCAAATCACAGAGCAAGTGTCAATGCCAAATGGCTTTGGAAGCAATAATAGCCATAGCCATGTACTTTGCTTTAGTACTTGAGAGAGCCCGAATTGATGGCTTTGTGTAATAAGAAGAAATAATACCATGTCGTAGAGTAACATTTGTTGACTTTTCCAACCTAATCTGTGTTGCTGAATCATACAGAAGGTGCAGAGTTGAGGTAGTGCAGCAATATTCTATGTGGTATTTAAGAAAGCAAGGAGTACTAGAAGGTATGTTTGCAAGTAGGATATGTTTTGGGCTGGATCTGACATATATTCTAAAATACTAACTACAAAGGTGATGTTGGGATGGATGCAAATACTGACTTAGTTGACAAAGCCAATTGCATTGGCATACAGGAAGTTGTTATAGCTTTGTGTTTTTTCAAGGGATTGAAGGCCTTAAATAAACAAAATTCTATGAGCTTCTATTCAAGATATAAAATCTAAGTGATGCAAAGCCAGCTACAACAAAGGCCACAAGTGGTTTAGAAGCTGAAAATATAATGAACTCTATCCAGATTTGAGGGAAAAGAACATAAGTGGAGTTGATTTTTAATGGTTTAAGGAAAGACAAACTACTGCTTGCAATCTATATTGAATCTAGACTTAGAACAAGAAAAGAGTTGATAAGAGTGAAGAAGACTTCACTCTTATCTCTATATATAATATCCATCTAAGATATATGTGGCGATGTTTTATAGGACCTTGTTTGATGCATTTACAAGATTCATTTTTGGCTCTGATGTCCATTCACTAATATCATACCTAAGTCAATAAACAAGATATTTCAACCTATTTTGGTGCTCCTTTGAATTTAAGACTTCTTCCACCTCAAATTCTTCATTATTGTCTACTTCTATAAGAAGAGGTAGCACCTATTTTCCTCTTGGTATATTTATTGTCTTGTATGGTTTAAAAAGAGACATATTATTCTAATACATATTGTCTTATTTGGGAATGCATTGGATACCTGGATGTGAAAGATGAAGTTGTGTTTTATAAATATTCAAAAAATCCTAATAGATTTCATCTATACAAGAGAAATGTAATTCAAATTTTAATTCAAAAGTGCTTAAAGTTAATACAAAGTGCTCAAAAATACTCTTCTTTATAACCTCAACTATAAATAAACTCCAATTATCTTATTACTTTTATAGTTAGATAATTTTGATTTTTCTTTCTAAGCTCTAATTTTAATTAGTAAACTTTGGAGATTTGTAACTTTTAATTTGACTATCCACTTGGTGTAAAATTTTATATATAAATGCCACTATATGTCTTTTGTATGTTTAGAAAAATTCAATTCAATCCAATTTATAGATTGTGAGAAAACAATCCAAAAACTTCACTAGTAAGACTTAGCCACCAACTTAAAAGTTGATATAGATGTTTAAGTAGTGATTTCTCCTTCTTCAACTATTAACTTTAATTAAAAATTAATATATAGTTTGATCTTAAAGTCTTCTAATACTATGCCAAATTTCACATTGATTCAATTAGTAAATCTTTAGATATCATAGAAATCCTATCTGACCCTAAATTACAAATTTTTGATATCTTCTTATAGTGAATTTCTAATATCTTCTAATTTTACTATTAGATTAATATAAAATTTTAAATATATTTAGCACATCCAATCAACCAAGCATTTTTAAATTTTGAATTATAAATATGGCACCAGTTGTACAAAATAGTAGAAAATGCTAGTCCTAATTGTATTGCATAAATTCCAAGCTTTTAATCCAAACCCTAAGTTTGAAAAATAATTGCAAAGTCATTCCAAATCTTATAAAAACAAGCCATCTTTCCAACTTTCCAAAAAAATTACATCATTTCATTGACTTAATCACAATCTTTTTGATAATAAGAATCGCTATCACATCAAATATATCTTTGTATGTACACTCTCGTATTATGTATTTTCTTACTTAAAAATGCATCAGGCACTTAGTTGTGGAAGGTGAGGTTGTGTTTTACAAACATCCAAAAAATCCTAATAGATTTCATCCATATGAAAAGAATATAATTCAAATTTTTATTTAAAAGTACTAAAAAATACTCTTCTTAATAGCCTCAATCACACATAAACCTCAATTATCTTGTTACTTTTATATTTAAGTAATTTAGATTTTTCTTATAAGCTCCAATCCTAATTCCAGTCATATCCATACTTCACAAACATCTTCCATTATCAACTATTCAATCCTTCATTTATAATTCAGCATACAATAAATTCAATTTCTCATTTGACATCATCTATATCAAATCTTTCTTCCATTCCAAAATTTTACTTCACATTGTTCAGAAACTATCCATTATTCTTCTTCTACAAAGAAAATAAAAAACAAAAAGGTAGCACTTAGTTTACTTTGGCTCATGACTATCACAGTCTAGTCCTTTCTACTTCTTCTTCAACTTACTTATGCTTTCCTCAAAATGCCAACCACTACACAACTGATGATAATTACTTTTTTTTGACTACATCATCCATTTTATATTATAAATTATTCATTCATCAATTTATTAGCTTCTCTTAATCCTACATACTAGGTACTATAAAATAAAAAAATCCTATCCATTCTACAAGTATGCTAAGTATATATAAAATTTTGTATCAATTTAATAGTACAATTGGGAGATATTTGGATTTTGATATAAGAAGGTATTAGAAGTTGGCAGTTTGGAGTTAGATAGGATTTTTATGATATCTAATGATCTACTAATTTGATCAATGTGAATTTTTGATATGGTCATAGAAGAATCTAATATCAAGCTATATATCAATTTTGAGTTAAAATTAATAACTTTAGAAAGAGAAATTACTATTGAAACATTTACATTATTTTTCAAGTTAGTAGCTAAGTATTATTAGTGCAATTTTTGGGCTTTTTTTCTCAATTTGTAAATTAGATTGGATTGAATTATTTTTTAATATAAAAAAGGCTTATATTGATATTTGTATGCAAAATTTTGTACCAAGTAGATGGTCAAATAAGGAGTTATAGCTTGCTAAAGCTAATTGACTAGGATTAGAACTTATAAGAAAAAATCAAAATTGCCTAATAATGAAAGTAATAAGACAATTAGGATTCATGTATAATTGAGGTTTTTAAAAAGAGTATTTTTGAGTACTTTGTATTAGCTTTAAGTATTTTGGAATTAAAATTTGAATTATATTTTTCTAATATGGGTGAAATCTATTAGAGTTTTTTCGATATTTATAAAATACAACTTCATCTTCTACAGCCAAGTACCTCGTGTATTTCCAAAAAAGACAACATATAATGTGGGAATAAATTGCCTTGTTTGGAAATGCATTGGACACTTGGCTGTGAAAGGTGAAGTTCTGTTTTACAAATATTCAAGAAATCCTAATAGATTTCATCTATACAAGAAAAATGTAATTCAAATTTTAATTCAAAAGTGCTTAAAGTCAATACAAAGTATTCAAAAATACTCTTCTTTGTAACCTCAACTATAAATAAACTCCAATTGTCTTATTACTTTTATAGTTAGATAATTTTGATTTTTCTTTGTAAGCTCTAATTTTAATTAGTAAACTTTGGAGATTTGTAACTTTTAATTTGACTATCCACTTGGTGCAAAATTTTATATATAAATGCCACTATATGTCTTTTGTATGTTTAGAAAAATTCAATTCAATCCAACTTATAGATTGTGAGAAAAAAATCCAAAAACTTCACTAGTAAGACTTAGCCACTAACTTAAATATAGATGTTTAAGTAGTGATTTCTCTTTCTCCAACTATTAAATTTAATTACAAATTAATGTATAGTTTGATCTTAAAGTCTTCTAATACTATGCCAAATTTCACATTGATTCAGTTAGTAAATCTTTAGATATCATAGAAATCCTATCTGATCCTAAATTGCCAATTTTTGATATCTTCTTATAATAAAATTCTAATATCATCTAATTTTACTATTAGATTAATATAAAATTTTAAATATATTTAGCACATCCAATCAACTAAGTATTTTCAAATTTTGAAGTGTAGATATAATGTCAATTGTAGAAACTAATGGAAAGCGCTAGCATTAATTGTATTGCATAAATTCCAAGTTTTTAATACAAACCCTAAGTTTGAAAAATAATTGCATAGTCATTCCAAACCTTATGAAAATAAGCCTTATATCTTTGAAGTAAGGTTGAAGCTAGCTCACAAATCTTAATTGTCAATCTTTGAATAGATCCAACTTTATTTTAGGTAGCTATTTTAGTAGCTGGGGATCAATTTTTTTTTTTGTCAATTCATCTTTTCAAGATAGTATATTCTAAGTTAGCACATATTTTTCAATCAACATAATGGATTTTTGACCTTTCATGAGTTCTATTGACATATATCTTGTCATTGAATTATGTATTATTTGATCAACCTATAATGTATAAAATAAAAGTTGAGGCTATTCCTTCATTTTTTCATTGCATGCTTTAACCAAAGCTTTTACAATTGGTGGATGTTCACATTTACTCTTTGTATTATCTTTTGAATTAAAAGCAGTAGTTAATGATAATTTAATTTTACATCTCTTAAAGAATTCATGAGCTCCATGTGTATTCAATTCCTTACAATATGTAATAATCTTTCTCACACATCCATAACGAAAAATAACATCTTCAAGCAAAAATCTGCAAATTTCTTTTGTAGACTTTGTTTTTAGTACCCTGTCTTTTACTCGGTTTGATAAATCTTCATGAGCCAAAACTAAATACTTCATTTGCTATAATTCCATTGGTATAATAATCAAATTTATAATCCATTAAAAATAAATTATCAAAGAATATGTTGAATGTAGACCATTTCAATATCGTATATTTAAATATATTTGACAAGTTATAAAAGATTCTATAAACAAAGTTACATCTCAATACATATTCTTCTATCAATGTTGTTTCTTCACCAAGTTTTTAATCACCACTATTACTTCTATTAGATAATATTTTTTAGCTTTCATAGCTGAGAGAACTCTCTATAATTCTCTTTTCACTTCTAAATATGCACGTTGGTGAATACTTAAAATCTTAGCTCTAAATTGGATTACAAATCTGTATCCATTCAAATCATTTTGACCTACAGCCTATTCAATGGGAATCAGATTAGTATTTGCTATAAGAAT